TACAAAAAATTCTGACTTCGGAATCCAAGTTCGCCTGCGCACAACTGCTACAATACTTCAAAAAGAACGTCGAGTCTTTGTGTGGAGAATGGCGAAGCCTGACACATCCAGGTGGTTGCGACTTAACCATTTCAATAAACCGTTTAGTTGAAGGTTTTATGATAGCGCGAACGCAGAATAATGTTGCATTACGTCAAAAAATCACAAAAGCGAATAAAAAGTTGAAAAAATCGGGAGATCGGTAAGCGTGGGCGGTTCCTTAATTTGCGCCCACACTGTACTATACGGCGCTAAGTTATTAAATATAACAATTCTCTGCTGTCTTTGCATGTAAAATCAAGCAACTGAATCCCCGCTAAAAACCTTGAGCAGTAAATCGATTTCTACTTCACTGTTCTTTCCTTTCATTCGAATATTCTACGGCGGAAAGAATTTAAAACTAGGCATGCAACTCGTAAAGAAAGTACTAACGTTTTCTATATGGTTCGTCTCCATAGGTGCCATTCCAGAAACCTCGTCTCTTATTGTACTTGCTTGAATACCATGGCCTGCCTTCCTCGTTGAATCTGTGGAAAAATAAGTTACAAAGAACGTATAAGAGTCCTCGATCCGTCGCGCGATTCGCGCAGTTTAGCAAGTGCCCGTTTGAACATTTGAAACACTGAATATGAAACAAGTAGAATCATGAACAGTCGTCATTCAACCATCACCATCAAGCAGAAATGGCGGCGGGATTGGAGAGCACCTCGCAGTATTGATCGGGCACTTGTGATTTCTGTGATCCGTCGCGCAATTCGCGTGAATTGCGCGACTGGTCGCGGACTCTGACACCAGCCTAAGGCGATGAAGCTAATCGGTAGACAAATAGCTTCCAAACGGATTACAAAAGCTTTCTCATAATACTAAAAAATTTCTTACTTTGCAATACGATCGATGGCGATCTGAGCATCTTCCATCGCCGGATCAACATATATAACACTTTCCAGAAACTCGGATACTACTGGCATTTCCATCACAGCTGAAAATGATGGCATAGTGACAAATAAACTGCTGAATGAACGTGAAGTTCATGCCTTTGAGCTCGAGAAAAGTTTCAATCGGGACAGCTGCTGTTCCCTCTCCCCTATTCTGACGGAGATGTTTTGCATGCCTTTGTTGCATCACTTCATCAGATGGAACAATCGTTACACACTAAAACAAGTGGTCATAGCAAAATAGAATCAAATCAAAAGCAGTGAAAGAACAACAATACGTGGAAACGAAAAATTCATGAAAACCTCATTACCTGTGTGCTTGAGCGCAGGATAAATATCAAACGATTGACTAAGGTACCGAATTACGCCCGGAAATTTTCGGATATTAGGCTCAAACTTAGTTTCTCCCCCCCTCAGA